TCTCAGTTACAATTATGTTCATATACAAGTTACTTTAACTTCAGGCTTCAGATTATATTTACTTTAGCAGGGACTTGATGAGCTGAAGCAAAGGAAAAGAAATCCAACCCAGCAGCTGTTAAATATCAAAATCTATGCATTCCAGAAGCCAAACAACCTACACAATTTCGCAGCACATCATTATTTGACTGATTATTCATTGATGCAATAGATTATTTATTGATTTTTAAGCTCCTTTAAAGTTATCAAGTTCTAAAGAACAGTTATGGCCATGATCATTGTCCAAGTTGTTATGAGGATTGTAAGGCCTTTTTGGTTAATGCATGGCATATGTCTGCAACATTCAACTAATTCATGTGTCTGTCTGCACTATTAATAGAGAAGGTTACATGCCGATTATCCAGGGTTCAGTCAGCTCTCTTAGGATACAATAGCTGCAGTGTTCATACACTTGAGGAACAGCATTCCACACAGACATTATAAGCAGCTGTTCTACATAAGATCACTGGAGTTTTAATGCTTAGGAATTGCCTTTCTATACCCAACCTGAGCTGTGGTCTTGATTGGAACATTTCACCAATGCCATCTTTGTATCTCTTGTCCATCACAAACCAATAATAATTACTGACAAGTAGTCTCACTTAATTCAATAAGATTTCCTTTCAGGTGAACATACTGGTTGTAGCTTTACAAATCATGTTGCTGTTATTGTTTTCCACATATTCAGATATCTTTTTCTAGACTTGACTCCAGACAACTTGCTATTAAACTATTCAAAATGAAAACCAAAAACCAAAAATATTGTATATAACCTAATATTTTTAGCTTCAGAAAAGGGGACACAACTCTTTTTCCACTCCACGTATGGTACTTGACTATTTTAAAATCATTTTTGAAGTCTAATAGAACAAATTATGTAATCATAGCAAAAGAAATTCATTGCATTATTGTTACCTCTTCTTTTCAACCCCCCCCCCCCCCCAATTATTAATTATTTTGAATTGGATCCAGATGTAGCAATGGTCAAGGTGGGTATTTTGGAATTGGTAGGACTGAATTTAGTTAGAATCAAATCCTTTTTTAAAAAAGCAAACAAGAAAATATGTTTAGAATGGTTTAAAGTACCCACTATGATCTTTTCTCACATTTCATGTGGGTAAGCAAATGATGGGTTGGGTTGTGGATTGTGACACCTGGGAGTTAGACATTTGTCTGTTCCCATGGAGACATTCCTTCTGTGAGTCAACTGGTGATGACACAATAACCTGTCATTGTCTTTTCCTTTGAAAGTCAAACATTATTTCTCTCTATATATATCTGGTAAAAATTTACAAAATTAAAATGAATTCCAAAACTAAAAACAACACATGCAGGTTTAGTCCAGCCTTGGTACATCTCTCCACAGCACCTGTCTTTTGCAAGCAACCAGTGTCTCTGCTTTCAAGCAAACGGAACAACTGCTTTGTAGATTATTTTCTCCCTGATGTCTCTCCACTGAGTTGGCATAATTATGAAAAATTTAATGCATGGTTTGAGCATTAATCACACCAGCAGTTTGGAGCACTAATTCTTCTGGACACAACAGAGACTTCTTTCTTTCCTTTTTCGTTATCATGCTCAACTTCAGTTTGTAAAACTGTAAGGCTTGGTAGAGGGTTTTCTACAACAGTAAAAAAACAACAACATCCCCACCTTTATTGTAATGCTGTAGGAATACATGATATACTGTAGCAGACCTTTTTGCCCAATAGGGCCCTCGGCCAAAGCTTGGCTTGCAACCGTTGAGCGAGCGCAGGCAGGAATCAAAGGGACGGACAACTTGATTCATCCAAAGGAAAGCAGTTTATTAAGTTTCAAAGCAGCTGCCTGGTCACCTCCAACGCAACGAGGCGTTTCTGAGGAAGCGACCCCCTCTGGTGGGCTGAACTCTTTATATATATTTTGGAAAAACGAAAGTTCCCATTTCCCTGAAATCATGTGATTTCCGAGAAATCAGGTGGTTCTTTCAGGGGCTGCACCCCGCACTCAACTTTTGCACAGAGCCCCGCACTCAACTTTTGCACACGGGACTCTCCCCCCCCCTCACCTTCCTTATTTGGCAGCATATCCCTTATTCCCATTTCCACAACAATAAGGCTGCCTCATTTCTCTATTTTTTTTTGCTAAGCGTTTTACAAAAGCGAAAGCAAATCAGCAAAGGTTATTATGGGTCCCTCCAACTTTTTTTCTGGATGAGGCCTATCTTTCTTATTGGGGTTACTTGCATTATACACTTTTGGCAGGCTTGGAGCATAATTGGAAAACAACATATTAGCAATAGAAAAATGACACAGCATAATATGATTATAAACATCAACTCTTTGAGCCATGATATTGAAGGGAGCCAGGAGGTCAACCACGAGAAAGGTTTCCACCCATCTTCTTTTACATTATGATTTATTAATTCTTGTAATTTTTCTAAATCATCTTCAATCGTTTGGTTGAGATCATGAAATTGAACCACACAATGGCCCTTTATTATAGAACAAAATCCTCCTTTTGCTGCCAGCAGATAATCCAGGGCCAACTTGTGTTGTAACACCATCTGGCTCAGCTCTTCAATTTCAGATTGTAATTGTTTAACTATTTTTCCGGTGGCATTTATGCTTTTCTCTAATCTACACGTGAGCCCTAGAATACTTTTTCTATTCTCTTGGGCAATTATACCTGGGTAGGATCCGAGAGTCAGGACTCCTGTTATCAATCCCCCTCCCACCCGTGCGCCCTCAGTGTCAGACAAGGGAGAGTTTATGATCACTTCGTCTGAACACTCGGGTCCTAAAGGCGCCACGGGTTGTAGGGACCTTCGAAGTCTTGTGAGGGTTTTGGGGTGTCTGAGAACTCTCACAGGGAATGTTAAATATCCCACCCCAACACACTGGTATCTTCCCGGATGGTAATTAGTGGCCCATTTATCAAAGAAAAACCACATATTAGGATCTCTAATTTGCCATCCTGAACAAATACTACCACCACTATTCAAGGTAGTGTAATTTGAATCAAACATTGGATATTCGGGATACAGTTCTTTCCAATCTGTATCTGCCAAATTTTGTCTATTGGTATAGGTAGAATTATGGGTTCCATGTAGATAGAACCTATCTGTGCAGTAAGTATAATTCTTTAACCCTATTAGGAAGGCTTTTCTGCGTTTCCAGTCTCTCCACCTTTGATTCCATGTACCCTTATTCCCACAACAAAAACACATTCCCCGCGTAGTGGCAGTGTACCTTATTCGTCTAAATCTAGCTTGATTTAGTCCATCAGGAACCTGGGAAAACATGGTGGGATTTTGAATACTTCCTTGCAATCCCCCGAGCACCACCTGAGGGTCTTCTATTAGTGCTGGGAGGAAGGATAAGTCACCTATTTTTTCTGGATGTTCATATATAAGAGACACATCTTTACCATGTTGGGCAAACATAAGTCTTGCATGCTCTTTTAGCCAATTTCCCTGTATCACAGTGATCATATTTATGAGCATTAGGAACCCAAATATTGTCCGAACTCCTGTTGGTTTTCTGGTGCCTCCTCCTCCCCTTCCCATCATAATGTCTTTCCACCACTTCCAGGATAGTGCTTTTGTTGGGCCACACTGCGACATACTTGACCTTCGACGTTCTGTTGTACCCGATGGGGTCAGCTTCATGGCCTTGTTGACCCCGTAGGGGGTTGCCGGACGATCCTGAGTCTCAGGTCACTCTGATCCGCTTTTTCCACTTTCCACACAGGGGGCGCCAACTTGGCACGGGTGTAGTGTATCCAAGGTTTGACTTCCTTCACTTTGATGGCGGTAGGGGTTGATAACAGCACAGTATAGGGTCCTCTCCACTTTGGTCCAAGCGGGTCAATCTTCCACTCCTTAATGAGCACTTCGTCACCTGGCGAAAAACAATGCAAAGGTGTGGTAGGATAAGGTGGGCTCAATTCTGACGTATATTGAGCTATTTGTTCTATCTGTCCAGCCAGAGCTTGCAACTGTTGAATCGTCTGTTTGTCTCCAATCACATGTTGGTCTCCCCCTTTGTTTATTATTGACCTCAAATTTAGTGGTGGCCTTCCATACAGTCTCTCATAGGGGGTCAAACCTGTTCTTTTATGGGGGGTACATCTTATTCTCAATAGCACCATGGGCAGCACTACAGTCCATCCCAGCCCTGTCTCTTGGCAGGTTTTTGATATAGCATTCTTTACAGTCCGATTCATTCTTTCAACTTTTGCGGATGACTGGGGTCTATAGGCACAATGCAACTTCCACTTGGTGCCCAATATTTGGCACAATCCCTGAACTACCTTGTGTACATAAGCTGGACCGTTATCAGATCCTATTTCCAATGGTATTCCAAACCTTGGGATTATGTCTCTTAACAGTGCCCTAGAAACTTCTACCGCCTTCTCAGTACGGGTTGGGTATGCCTCTACCCACCCAGTATAAGTGTACACAAAAACAAGCAAATATTTGTAGCCCTTTTGCGGAGGCAGTTTGGTGAAATCAGTCAAAATTGCCTCGAACGGGGTGTTGCCTACATGTTGAACTCCTGGGGGCTTTAAGGGTCCTTCTCGAGGGTTATTCTTGGCGCAGGTCCAGCACCTGCGTGCAGCCGCTGCCGTTAAGCTATGGAGCCCATCGATGTACATCTGTCGTCCCAACAACGTTGCTAGGGCCGTCTTACCCAGGTGTGTAGTGTAGTGCATGTGTCGGACTATGTGCCATGCCATGTCCTTAGGGAAGTAGACGCGGTTATCTGGCATCACAATGACCTCTCCCTTCCATTTTCCTTTTTCCCCCAAGGCCCAATTCTCCTCCTGTGTATATGCAAACTTTTCTAATGGGGGGGTCCTCTAATGTAGTTGCAGTTAGCAGGCACTGCTTATTGCGGGGGTGTTTTGCTGCCTCCCTTGCGGCCAAATCAGCTGACCCATTTCCTTGCGTAACTGGATCTTCTCCCCTCTGGTGTCCCTTACATTACAGCAACCCGATCCGGTTCCCAAACCGCCTCCAGAAGGGCCACAATCTCAGCTGCATTCTTAACGCCCTTTCCAGCCGACGTAAGGAGTCCCCGCTCCTTGTACAAAGCTCCATGGGCATGAAGCGTAGTAAAAGCGTACTTTGAATCCGTGTAGACATTGACCCGCTTTCCTTTTGCCAACTGCAGTGCCCTGGTGAGGGCTATCAACTCGGCCCGCTGAGCGGAGGTTCCCGGAGGGAGCGACTCTGCTTCCAAAATCTCTCCCCCCCCCCGTACCACCGCATACCCTGCACGCCTCTCACCATTTTCCACGAAGCTGCTGCCATCTGTGAATAGGGTCATGTCTATGTTGGACATTGGTACGTCTTTTAAATCGGGTCGGCTGGAGTATACCTGTTCCATCACCTGAATGCACTGGTGGATCATCTCCTCCCCCGGGGCAGGCAACAAGGTAGCCGGATTCAGGGTGGCGCAAGTTTCCAGGGTTACCATTGGGTTGTCACATAACACCCCCTCATACTTAGTCAGTCTCTCGTTTGTGAGCCAGCGTGGTCCCTTGGTGTCTAACAGTGCCTTCACATGGTGTGGTACCTTTACGACCAGTGGCTGCCCTAAAGTCAATTTGTTTGCTTCTACTGCTGCTGCCACAGCCCGCAGGCATGGTGGCATTCCCTGCGCTACTGTGTCTAGTTGCCTTGACAAGTATGCCACTGGTCTTTGCCATGACCCTAAAGCCTGGGTAAGTACGCCCACTGCTACTCCTTCTCGCTCCGATACGAACAGAGTGAAGGGTTTTTCCATATCCGGTAGGCCCAGGGCTGGTGATGACATCAAAGCTTTTTTTAAAGCTTCAAAGGCTTGTTGGCATTTTTCTGTCCACTGGAATGGATCTTCTCTATTCCCTCGGGTGGCCTGGTATAAAGGCTTGGCCAATACAGCATAGCCTGGAATCCACTGCCGACAATACCCTGTTGAACCCAAAAATTCCCTAACCTGCCTCCTGCTGGACGGGGTTGGTATTGCACAAATAACTTTTTTTCTTTCAACTCCCAGTGACCGATGTCCCTCAGTTATTTCAAATCCCAGATATTTTACACTTCTTTGACACAATTGAGCCTTCTTTTTGGACACTTTGTATCCTTTTTCCTCTAATGTTTCCAACATTTTCAGGGTGTAGTGCCTACACCCAACCTCTGTCCTACAGGCTATCAACAAATCATCCACGTATTGGAGCCACACCCCTTCACTCTCCGGAATTTCAAATTCTTCCATGTCTTTAGCCAGTGCCTGTCCGAATATCGTGGGACTACTGTGATAGCCCTGAGGGAGACGAGCCCACATGTATTGGGCCCTTTGGCCGGCTTGTTGGGTGTCCCACTGGAACGCAAAAATCGGCTGGGACACCGGAGCCAACCGGATGCAAAAGAACGCATCTTTAATATCCAATACAGTGAACCACGCCGTCCATGCGGGTATTAAACTCATCATGATATATGGATTTGGCACTACCGGGGTCAAAGAAACAGTGACTTGATTTACTGCTCTTAAGTCCTGAACAGGGCGAAATTCGCCCTGCCCTCCTGGCTTTTTGACTGGCAACAGGGGAGAGTTCCAGGGTGAGCTGCAAGGTGTAATTATTCCATGTTCCAGTAGCCTGTCAATATGTTTTTGTATTCCTATTGATGCTTCCCGACTGACAGGGTATTGGGGCCTCTTTACCGGCCCCATTCCTTTCTTTACTTCCACCACTACTGGGGGCACATATTTAGCCAGGCCGGGCGGGTTATCTTCTGCCCATACCAAAGGCGTCCTTTCCCACGGCCACTGGGCTTTCGGTGGTTCTGATGCTTCCTGCCTTATGAGAAACAACCTCCATTCCTCTTCCATTGGAATAGTCAATTCCATCTGGCCGGTGTTAATGAATTGAATCTGTGCCCTTAATTTAGAGAGAATGTCTCGCCCCAAGAGGGGGACAGGACAATCTGGGAGATATAATAATTTGTGACTCACATTATGTCCAGCCAAATTACAAGTCCTTTCCTGGAGCAAGGGGCATTTCTGGACTTTTCCTGAAACCCCTATAACTCGAGTGGTTTCAGCACTTGGTGGGCTCGTTAGCTTGTTTATTACTGATCTTTCAGCCCCTGTATCCACCAAGAAATCAATTTGTTGGTCCCCGATTTCTACAGTGACCATTGGCTCCCCGGGGTCCAACAAAACAAGAGCCTGGCTCCTTCATTCACCATCTTCTATGTCCTCCCATCCTTCTTCCTCCACCACTGCAGCCACTATTGCCTCCTTTTCCTGGTACGGTGTATAACTTCCGCGTCCTCTGCCACGTCCTCGGCCTCTTCCTCTACCATTTTCTTGACCTCCCCGATCACTAGTTACTTGCTCTGTACATTGTCCCTTCCAGTGCCCAAATTTCCTGCATCGAGCACACTGATCCCATCCTAGTCTTCTGGTTCCACTTCTTCCTCGGCCACTGCCCCTTCCTCGTCCTCTGTCTCTCTTTTCTCCTGTTCTATCATCCATCATGGTTAGGAGAGTCTTGTACCCTTCCTTTCTGTCCCTCTTCCTCTTTTCTTCTTCTACCTGGTTCCTAGCCATATAGACCTGGTCAGCTATGGCTAATAACTCATTCATGGTCTTTCCTAAAAACCCAGGTTGTTTTTGGATTTTCCTTCTTATATCATCTGCTGCCTGTGTAATGAAAGATTGTGCCAGTGCCCTCTTTCCATTGTCATCTTCCAAGTTGTAGGGGCTATATCTTCTATAGGCATCTTCTAATCTTTCCAAGAATGCTGTAGGGGATTCTGTCTTTTCTTGTTTAACACTCTGTATTTTGAGTATGTTTGCAGGGCGTGGTGGACCGTGTCTTATAGCGTCCACCAAAAGGCCCTGAAATACTTTCAAGTCCACCCTATGTTGTGGATTGTTGGGGTCCCATTGGGGATCCACCTCGATCGGGAGACGTTGGGCCCCCCAAACCACTGCATCTGTCCCCACCGGGGGCTGTGCCTGAGCCAGTAGTATCGCCTGATTGATCACCTGTCTCCTTTCCTCAGTAGTAAACAAAACCTGGAGCAATTGTTTGCAATCCTGCCAGGTGGGATTATGGGTTGCCATAATACTTTCCAATAAGTTAGCCATTGCTTGGGGCTGTTCCGAGTATGGAGGGGTGGAATTTTTCCAGTTCAACAGATCACTACTGGTAAATGGGACCACTTGGTATGTTCTCACTATCTGATCTTGGCTATTGAGGATCGGAACTTCCCGGATGGGCATCTCAACCAGTGGGGCATTTATGGGTGACCCAAACGTAGGGGCCAAATTGCCCCGGCTCCTGGTTTGGGCCGGGCTTGCATCACTCGGCATTCTGCTGGACTTTTTCTCAATCTGTCCTCCTTCTCCAACTCGAAGGGCCGACAAGTCTGGGTATCTCAAAGATGAATTTTTATTTCCCCCCTGTCCATGATAAGGTGGGGGTGATGGCAGTGGTAATGGAGGAGCGACTGGCAGTGAAGGGGCATTAGGCACTGCGGGGGCCGCTGGTCTTCTAACAATTCTCCTTGCCGCCTCGGGTTGGTCTTCCTCTTGTGACCAGACCTTCCCTTTTCCCTTGCCTCCTCTCTTCTTGAATGCCATACACTGTCCTTGTTTACATTTTCTTATCCAATCTGGATTTTCTGAGACCACAGTGTCCCAAGTGGCAATATAAATGTATTGGTCTGGATGTTTGTTTGCACAATATTCCTCTACCTGTCTAATCTTCTTCAGATCCCAAGTTCCCTCTTCAGGCCAATCAAAAGGAAACGTGGGCCACTCGCCTGTACACAAATTTCTTAACCTGTAATCCTTAAAATCTCCTGGATCTGCTTGCCTAGATGCTGCCACAAATTTGTCAAAATGTTGTAACATGCACTGCAATGGGGAAATTGGCTTTGAACTCCCCCCTCCCATGGCTTCTAGGTGGGATTTGGCTCTGGCCTGAGCGCCTGGACACTCGACAGTGCGCGTCAGAAACCGCAGAGCTTCCTCCTTTCCTCCCACCAACCCAATGGGAGACTTAGTGGTTCCCTTCCGTGGCGCCGGTATGTATGTTCCCTTAGTGTCTTATTTAACCACTAAATACTCGCCAGATTGCTGTAGACGTTGGATCAACCTTCGCCCCTGGACTTTTTCCTCCTCCTTTAGGATCCCTCCTGGCAACCGGTCAGCTGGGGGCCCCCTTTACTCGGCTCACGGTGGTTGTCTCCAGTCCCCGGCGCTGATCAAGAATCGTCCTGGCAACAGGATCCGCCCCTTGATCCCCTGCTCGTCTTACTCGATCCGAGTCACGGCACCAGAAATGTAGCAGACCTTTTTGCCCAATAGGGCCCTCGGCCAAAGCTTGGCTTGCAACCGTTGAGCGAGCGCAGGCAGGAATCAAAGGGACGGACAACTTGATTCTTCCAAAGGAAAGCAGTTTATTAAGTTTCAAAGCAGCTGCCTGGTCACCTCCAACGCAACGAGGCGTTTCTGAGGAAGCGACCCCCTCTGGTGGGCTGAACTCTTTATATATATTTTGGAAAAACGAAAGTTCCCATTTCCCTGAAATCATGTGATTTCCGAGAAATCAGGTGGTTCTTTCAGGGGCTGCACCCCGCACTCAACTTTTGCACAGAGCCCCGCACTCAACTTTTGCACACGGGACTCTCCCCCCCCCTCACCTTCCTTATTTGGCAGCATATCCCTTATTCCCATTTCCACAACAATAAGGCTGCCTCAATACAACCATTTTAACAGTAAAAAGGCTTATTTTAGAACTTAATGTGTTTTTTAAAAACTAACTTCTTGGTCAGCAGGAGAAAATATTGTTTTCCTATCTGAATTAGAGTGGCATGGAGGTGGTGGTGGGGTACAGATTAGTGTGTGGCAATGTGTACATCAGGGCCTTCATTGTAGAAAAGGCAAAATAAATGTGTTTTTCTCCTAAGAGCTGCTGAAGCAGCACCGCTGCCTTATCTGCTAAGTGCATCCTTAGCAGAGCCCTGTTACTGAGTTGTTTGTTTTGAATTAAGAATGGGTTGTTTCCAAAAATCCTGAAAATCTCTTGGGAAGACAGGCAGACAAATGTCAGTGTTCTGGAAGAATCAAAGACCACTAACATTGAAGTGATGATCCTCCACCATCAACTTCACTGGACTGACCACATTGCAGTTACTATACTCTTAACTCAAGAACAGAAAAGGGAATGTTGATGGATAAGACAAGAAATTTAAAGTAACGCTAACCTTAAAAACTGTGGCATAGGTACAGAGAACTGGGAAGCTCTGGCCGTTGAGCATTCTAACTGGAGGTCAGCTGTGACCAACAATGCTGTGGAATTCGAAGAGGCACAAATGGAGGGAGAAAGGGAGAAGACTCATCAAGCCAACCTTTCTCAGCCTTCCATCTGGAAATCAATGTCCTCACTACGAAAGAACATATGGATCAAGAATAGGTCTCTACAGTCATCTACGGACCCACTGCCAAGACCTTACACTTGGGTGGTAATTATACTTGGCTACAAGTGATAACCTATGATGATTATGTGTATCTTGAAGTTGCCTGTCAACTTACAGAAACTTCATAGATTTCATAGGGTTTTCTTAGGCAAGGAAAATTATTGAGGTGGTTTGACTATTTCCTCCGTTGAAATATAGCACCCAGGATTCCATGTTGGTATCCCATCCAAGCAGTAACCATGGTTGATCCTGCTTAGCTTCTCTTATATTTATTCATATTCCACTTTCCTCTTTTAAAGGAGAATCAATGTGGTTTTAGCATTCACTGGAGGTTAGACAAGCACATCTGCAGACCCTCTCCCACAGCCCCTGAACCCCCTTTTAAAAGTAAGGAGAACTTATTCAGCCTCCATTACTGACTTGCCGGAGCTCTTCTGGCTCATAGAATTGGTATGCCAGGAAAGAGCTCCAGCAAGACTGTAATGGAGGCCGGGTAAGTTTTCCTTACTTTTAAAAGGGGGTTGGGGGCTGTGGGGAAAGAGATGGGATTCCCACAGTTTTCTTGACGAATTTAGTCTGGCAAACTGTGGGAATGTTGTCTGGATTGCAGTCCAGACACCGGAAGTAGTGAGTTTATCCCACGCCTTCAAAGAAGGCTCGGAATAAATTCACTATCTAATTAATTCACCACAAACCAGGGTTTTCCTGGTTTGTGGCAAATTAATTGCGGGTTGGCCAGAACGTTATCTGGACAGCCCCCTTTTTATTGTGGAAGTTTCTGCAATAAAGGGACTGTCTGGATGAGCTGAGTGAACACAAGATTAACTAAATTTACTTGTAACTTCTTGGACCCAAGTGTTACTTTGAACAGATTCATTATTTAAAGTATCACAGTCACAGTAATAATATATCCAAAATGCTTGGGACCGACAATATTTTGGTTTTTTTCAAATTTTGGACAACTGTTATTTACATACATGTACATAATAGAGATGGTCTGTATCTAAATATGAAAATCATTTGTTTCACATATAGTCTGAAAGTAATTTTATACACAATTAGTTTTAATAATTTTGTGCGTCAAAGTTTGTGTACGTAGAACCATCAGAAAGCAAAAGTGTCACTATCTCAACCACCCACATATTTTGAATTCGGGATGAGGGATGCTTAACCCGTACTACTAATGTATGACAAAATAAAATACAAGTGTGAGGTTCTGTACATGTAGGCTACTTTTCTCCTAGTGGAAAGGTAGTAACAGTTTTCAGTGGCAGAAATTCAGGCATTACCCCTCAAATCTCTTTTTAAAATGAAGACTGCATGGATGCTTTTGTGGTGAATTGTGACCCTTATAGAGGGTTGGACTAGATGGCCTTTGGGGGTACCCTCCAATCTTATGAGTTTATGCCATTGCTACATACACAAGGTCTGCCTGAATAGGATGGAATAAATATGAAAGCAGCAACTCTAAAAGAGCTGCAAAACTTTTAGATGGTAAAGTAGATTGAGATTTTTTTTTTCCTCCTAAGAGATGTGTTCTAAAACTCCTGTGTTTCATTTTAAAGATTGAATGCAGTGTACAAAGACTACTGACATGTTACAGAGGCATTTTATTCATTGTAAATGGCAGCCACCCACAGCAATACCAGAAGTGACTTCAATGTTTTGCACAAAAGATTGGGCAGGAAGCTACAAAAGGACACTGACAGCTTGGGCTACATGATTAAGGAACTTACTTCCCTTCTCAATGAAGCCACTCTAGTATAACTAGCAGCAAAGCAGTAAAGTAAATAAAGCCCAAACTCTCCAGGCTGGAAGCTGAAACCTGCCTGGCCTGTTTTACAACTTCTCACTAAATTGCATTTACATCCCTCCATGGGGGAGGTTTCATTTCTCTGAACTGTTGGGCTAGAACAAAGAAATCTGATCTCTCTGAATCTTCTTGGAGCCAGCCCTGCAGAAAAAGAAAAAGAGACTTTGGGTTTGCAATGGAGAGACAGGCAGGATATAAAGCTTGGCACATTAGTAAGATTTTAAAAAAAATATTAAGCAAAAATCAGTGCAAGAACTGATTGGATCAGACCCAATGGAAGGAACACTTTGGCTCAAAGGAAGACATTGCAATGGGGAAAAAAAACCCAGTGTCACACTTATAAAGTCTCTCTTGTCCATTGAAAGATAAGGTTCCAGTTAGCACTTTTTAAAGCATTTTTTTTCAATTTTCGGAAATAATCCAGTCTCAAAAAAACACCCCCTCCCCAATTTAGTATGCAGAATCTTCCCAGACAAATTTGCACAAGTTACCTGGAAGATTATGAAGGTTTTCTGAATCTCCCTTCTTCAGAATGCCATCTGAAGGAATAGACTCTAGAGACCTGGGTTCAAATCCTGAACTGCCATGAAAGCCCACTGGATAACCTTGGCGGATCACACACACTCTCAACCTCAGAGGAAGACAAAGGCAAGCTCCTTCTGATGAAATCTTCCCACAATAACCCTATGATAGGTTCACCTTAGGGTCAACATAGATCAACAAGGATTTGAAGGCATACTTACCCTTTCTGTTAGAGAAAGGGAATGAAAGTGTAGTGGGCAGGGGTTAGAAACCAGTGACACCAGCTCAGAGGCAACTGGGCTACACCATGCCAAGATCTTTGTATAACATCTCATAACAGCATACTTAAAAACCAGGAGTTCCCAAGTAATTCCTTATGAAACACCTCTTTAATACCTAGGCTTAGTTCTCATAATCAGATGTGATATAAGGTGTCATCAGACTGGTCTAATGAACTGTGACTTATTGCAATATTACTCCTTGGATTTTGCCATGGTTTGCCTGCTGTTATTTTGCCTTTGCTGATTTTCCTGAAATATGTACTGGAGCTGTTCCTGAGGATTTTTTTTAATGGGGTTTATTTGGATAGGGAAAAATTGCCTCCCTGAGTTGTAATGCCATTTCACTGGTGCACTACAACTCTAAATGGAAAGAGAAAGAATATTTTGAATAGAGTATACTTTTTTCTTGATATATCTCAGAATTAAAAGAAGAAGAAATATAGAATAAGAGAATTAGAAGAGATCAGATGGGCCATGTAATCCTACCACTTACCATGCAGGAAAAACACAATCAAATTACCTGGCAATGACTGTCTAGCCTCTGTTTAAAAGCTTTCAAGGAAGGAGCTTCCACCACACTTAAAGAGGCAAAGAGTTCCACTGCTGAACAGCT